TTCTTCAAATAATTTAAAATAAAACTACTTGATAGTAAATAATTATTCTTCTGCTTTTCTTTCAAGATGACCCGACTGCAAACAATACCATTACGTACTCATGTACTCAAAAGAACCAGCAAGTAATCTCTCATCTCAACAAAATACTTTAATACAATATAAGCCGTCACAAATTTATCATTATAACATATATATATATATTTAATTAAATATTTAATTAATTATATCTGTTCATATAAATGTTTCACTGAAGTAACTTTATATTAACACATAAAATCAGGTTGAAAAGAGGTCTATGACGTAATAGAGAAGGGATGAAACGCCGCTGAACTTCTATTTGAGAATTCCCGGTTCAGCAGACCTCTTTTTTCAATAATTACTCCAATTTAATTTTTTTTGTATATGTCTGGTCTACCATTAGGGTTTCAAAACATAATAACCAAACTTATAACAAAAGTTAATTCATAGTATAGATATATTACTAAATACAACTATTTATATTCATATTTTAAAATAAAAAATTTAAAAAATCATTTAAAAAAAAAAGGATAAAATATAAAATTATAAAAATATATATATATATATACTAACAATCTTAACTACCTTCTTTACAAAACTTTTTGTCTTCTTATTATTAGTTTGATCAAAAGTACATGGTTCTGTCTTTCTCTCTTTTTTCTAACTATTATATATATTCTCACTTCGATTATTCTATATATAGGATTAGAGTATGTCTAAATGACGTGTAAAAGCCGATGCAAAAGACGTTACGTTGTTAAATTTTATTGTTATTAATTATAAATATATAATTAACTAGATGATGTTTTAGAAGTAAAGGATTTTTTTTCTCTCTATCTATACTAAATAATAACAATTTACTAATTTTATAATTTGAATTTAAATAATCAAAATAATTAAGCTAATTTTAATAGAATACTTAACTATAAAACTATACAACTATTTATTTTTATAATTAATTTAGATTTAGCTTGCTAATCTAACCAAATCTACTTGATATGATTTATCATTCTTATCAGTTTGCTCCTTAAGTTTTAAATGTAGAATCACTGTTATATTTTATTATATAGTTTTTACACTTTAATTAAAAAGGCATATATTTAATCAAAATATAATTTATTTTACCAATATTATATCAATTATATTTTGATCCAATATATTCCTTTTTAATTAAAGATCTATTTATGAATTTCTCTATTAAAAATAATATAAATATATATATATATATAAAGCACATGTGCTCCTGGTCAGGATATGCCTTCATTATTTTTAATATATATATAGTATATTTTAAACTGTATAATAATGGCACTTTTAGTATATTTCACATATCTTCCAATTAGCTAGAGCCGATACTTTGTAAGATCATACCCTCCTATTAAAACGTTCACTCCTCCTATTTGCTACCACCCCATATTTCGTATATATGCAATACTTTATTAATACAACCTGTACATCCTTATTTGTATTTAACCTTAAAATGATGACGTCAAAATAAAAAGCCAAAGATGGGGGCAGAGAGAGAGGATAATACCAACGCCCAGATGGGGGCCCCCCTCCAGGGCTTTTTATAGACGACCCTTGAAAACAGGACAGGTTTTAGCAGGGAGTCAACGGCAGTATGTTCTACAGTGTGTTCATCGGCAGACCGCTTCGGTCTCTCTCTCCATGTCTCGGTGATAGGCATCCAAGTTTGTGTCATGGCCTCTACCTCTGTCCCGTGGGCTATCCCCGATCACTCTCGGTGCTAACATCTAGCCCTGCCTCTGCTTATTGTTTGTCCGCGTGTGGGAAGAACATCAACACTCGCCTCACGTACACGACTGCCAGTTTATCCATACGTCGATAGGATCATTTGCAACAATATTACATATATATATGAAAAAACAATAGAAAAAATAAAATAAAAAGGTCAGGTGTTGATATTAATATATATAGATGAAAAAACGAAAGAAAAAAAAAGATAAAAAGATCAGGTGTTGAAATCAATATTAAAAATGGCATATCCTGACCAGGAGCACATGTGCTTTACAGAAGGCAGAGCGCCATCTGGTGGAACATAAATCAACTAAACATTGATTTAGCCTGTTCCCTGATATTTGGCAAACCCAATTTCTTGATAAATCTGACTATTATTATTATTAGTCAGTTTAAATATTAGTTACGAACGGAGAAATACGTCCAGGATAGCCTAGTGGACATGGCACCTGCCCGGTAAGCAGAAGGTTGTGGGTTCGATTCCCGCTCCTGGACACTTTTATTTTTCCGTTCGCCATTACTCTTCATATTTTTCACCCTTCCATACGTCATCCATTCATATATAGACCATCACTCTTCATATATTCAACCTTTCCATACGTCATCCAAAAGTTAGAAATATTAAATATTTATCTTTGAAATTAAAAAAGATTTTTCATAAATAAAAAAGAAACTTATGCGGTTAAACTGATTGTATAGCTTTATAAAGCTACAATAATTGGGGATTTTATAATATATATATGGTACTTAGATAAATATACAGTCGAACTTGGATCATTCGGAGCCCAAGGAACAAAAAAAAAATCGAATTAAAAAGGTTTTGAATAAAAGGGACCAAGATGAATATTCGAATTGGAGACGTTTTCGAATTAAAGACGTTCGCAGCCTTTTAATTAAATAAACCCGTCGTCTTTACCTTTAGTCTCTTATAACAATGGTATCCTGTGATTCTCTTTCTCTTCTAACAATGGTATCCTGCGATTCTCTTTCTTTTATAACAATGGTATCCTGCGATTCTCTTTCTCTTATAACAATGGTATCCTGCGATTCTCTTTCTCTTATAACAATGGTATCCTGCGATTCTCTTTCTCATATAACAATGCTATCCTGCGATTCCTATCTCTTCCAACTATTATATCCTGTCTTCTTTGTAAGAAGGGATGTTTCCATCCAACATGAGTGTGCGCAGGAGGTGGTGCTGCGGAATGGCAGCATAATCATGGATAAATGGCAGAATCTCCCAGTGCCAGTCTACCTCGACCTCTACGTCTTTGAGTACGTCAACGCCGAAGAGGTCATGAAGACTCCGCACATCAAGCCGATCGTCAAGGAGCGGGGTCCGTACGTGTTCAGGTAAGTTGTCCTTCCGGACTTGTGGACCGCTTCTATATGTCGTGGGCAGAGTGGTGCGGGGCCGACACATCCACCAGTCCAACGAATCCTTCATCAGCTACAATGAGACGAGGACTTATATTTTCGAGAAGTCCATGTCAAACGGACTTCTGCTCAACGACACCTTCACTGTGGTCAACCTGCCGTTCTTGGTGAGTCCTCAGCAGCTACTCGATCGATACCTCCTCAATATTTATAAATTGGAAAATCGCCTGGATTAGTATACACTCATAGACAAAACTTAAGGAAGTTGTACCTTTTAGCATGTATATCGGGATTCAGACAATACACTCATAGACAAAACTTAAGGAAGTCGTACCTTTTAGCATGTATATCGGGATTCAGACAATACACTCATAGACAAAACTTAAGGAAGTTGTACCTTTTAGCATGTATATCGGGATTCAGACAATACACTCATAAACAAAACTTAAGGAAGTTTTACCTTTTAGCATGTATATCGGGATTCAGACAATACACTCATAGACAAAACTTAAGGAAGTTGTACCTTTTAGCATGTATATCGGGATTCAGACAATACACTCATAGACAAAACTTAAGGAAGTTGTACCTTTTAGCATGTATATCAGGATTCAGACAATACACTCATAGACAAAACTTAAGGAAGTTGTACCTTTTAGCATATATATCGGGATTCAGACAATAACTCTGAAAGATATTACAGTGACCTTTATTGAAGACACACGAGATAACCAAGTGTAAACAACTTCTGTCTTCTTAAAAAAAAAAAAAAAACAGACGACCAGGACATCAAAGAATTTCAACTTCCTTAAGTTCTGTCCATGAATATAATATAAAAAAGGAGGAAACCGTGAGGCGAAGAGTTATGTTTTTTATTTAACAAAGCTTTCGAGCATTTGTGTCCTTCTACAGTAGTAGAAATATCTTGTAGAAATTCTCGAAACATCGCTTATACAAAAACAACTTACAAGAAACCTTTTCTTCTTTTTCTCGGTTTTCTTCTTTTTCAAACTAATATTTCAATAAATGTGGGGGATATACTGCTTTAATCAAATTTATATGAATGTCTTTTACCGCAAGTTTTTAAAAATATATTTTATATATTAGGAGCTTTCGAATACGTCCCTTTCTCAAATTCTACTTGTATATATATTTAATTTTTAACAACTGGTTGAGAGAGAGGCTCCAATAAAATAAATATTTTAAAGAAAACTTGCTCACTTATATATTTTTTAGGAACAAAATTTATTTGTGAATCATATATTTCAAATTATTAACATAATTATTTCTAAAATTAATAAAAAGGGAAGTTTTTATAAAGTTGAATATTAGAAATTTGAACTATTTTTAACTCGCATTTTAAAATGTAAAAATAATCCTACGCGACAAAAATAGTTTAACTTTCTTACGACAGATGGCGCGGTAATGCGTCATAGTGATAATGTGTTTTAAAGACGTGGTTCACCGCGGGGGTTTATCAGATTGGTGGTAAACAGCTGTGTGTGGAATTATTCAGAACTAGACGGATGTGTGAGGTGGTGGTCCTTCTCGAGAATTTCTCTAATTTGGCATTACCAATGGCGTTCCTCGTTGGCTTACCGAGCGATTATTAACCTGGAGAAAGCGGATATTTTACAGCGCGGTCGCGGGAGGCGTACCGGCTGGGTTGTGCGAACTCGCGTCTGGACGGATGCGTGGAAAGTGCCCGGACCAGCGGGTGGAGGTTCGGCCTTTCCGGCGGAGGGGGTCAAGGGTGCGTTGGCCGCCACGGAGAGGCGGGCGCTGCGTCCCTAAGCGTGGTCCCGGCGAGGCGGCCCGAGGGCGTCTCACGGCGGGGATTAACGAAGGATACCTGGTTGATCCTGCCAGTAGTCATATGCTTGTCTCAAAGATTAAGCCATGCATGTCTAAGTACACGCCCTAGCAAGGTGAAACCGCGAATGGCTCATTAAATTCAGTTATGGTTCCTTAGATCGTACACATTTACTTGGATAACTGCGGTAATTCTAGAGCTAATACATGCAATTGAGCCCTCGTCCCTTTTAGGGTGAGGGTGATTTTATTATACCAAGACCAAACGGGGGCAACTCCGATAGTCGTGGTGACTCGAATAACTATGGCGGATCGCACAGTCCTAGCACTGGCAACGCATCTTTCAAGTGTCTGCCTTATCAACTTTCGATGGTAGGTTATGCGCCTACCATGGTTGTTACGGGTAACGGGGAATCAGGGTTCGATTCCGGAGAGGGAGCCTGAGAAACGGCTACCACATCCAAGGAAGGCAGCAGGCGCGCAAATTACCCACTCCCGGCACGGGGAGGTAGTGACGAAAAATAACAATACGGGACTCTAACGAGGCTCCGTAATTGGAATGAGTACACTCTAAACCTTTTAACGAGGATCTATTGGAGGGCAAGTCTAGTGCCAGCAGCCGCGGTAACTCTAGCTCCAATAGCGTATATTAAAGTTGTTGCGGTTAAAAAGCTCGTAGTTGGATATCAGTCGCGCTCCCTTCGATGCGTTGCAAAGCGTCTATCATTGGGGCCGACAGCACGTTGGTGGGCCCGGTTGGCTTTTACCGGTTGATCGGGTTCTCCGGCAATTTTACTTTGAAAAAATTAGGGTGCTCAAAGCAGGCTGGTGCCTGGATATTGGTGCATGGTGAGCATCAACTTTTGTATAAGAAATTGAAACTGACGTATATGTTTCTTTTTGAAATAAAACAATTCCGACTGCCATTATTGCAATGATAAGATAACGGGAGGGCCTGGCTCATCAATAGTGAACTCTCCCAGCGGTTTCGCCAGTTTAATCTACCATTGTAATTTTGCTGTTTTCCTTTTATACCTATACTGAATCTGACCTTTTTCAAATAGAATTTTAAATGAAATAAACTTTGAGGACAGTAGAAATACATATAATATGTTTAGAGCAATTTCTCTTCAGTAAACATCAAGTAGTCTTTTTTAAAGAACAATTATAATATTAACGCATTGCATCATAATTCGGCTTATATAGTCTGCCCTTGAAGGTTTAATCTTATTTATGGTGTTTAGCGAAATTTCGCAAATATGTTTTTTTCTTGAGCATAAATATTAAAAGACAAGACTGTCTGTTTAAGCAATATCAAAAAGCAGACAACATGACCCTGATAAAATAATGAGTCAAGTCTTCCCAAATATTCTTGATTTCACTAATTATGTAAATTTGTTCAATATGATCGAATGTTGTTAAATAGAGAAAACTTGGCAGTTTCCATTTGGGCACTCGCAAGTTGAATACATTGTCTTCCTATAAACTCATTTTTCATATGAAAATTCAATCAGGTGCCCTTTATATAGGATATTCAACATATTTAATATTCAGGGGCCTAATTAAAAAAAAGAACGAGATGGACAGTCAGATATATAAGGGGAAAAAACTTAATGGGAAAAATAGGTGAAAAACAGACGGAAGTGACCCCGAAGACAGAATTTCATCTATTAGATTGTTTGTTCTAGCGATGTCGTGGTTCTTGTGTTACTGTCCAACTCCGTGGTGTGTGTGTGCAGGGATTGGCTGCCAACCCCATGACAAGTAAGGGAATCTTAGATTTTCTCAAGAAGAATTACCATGAAGATTATAACAAGTGGTCTTTATACCAAAACTGTTCGATTCAGAGTCTCATCTTTGAAGGCTGCATTGCAGAGAATATGAACAACACTATCAGAGTTTTAGGACCACTAGTTCCCAACTTCCAAATTAATGTTCTGGTGAGTATCTACAGACGACATTATTGAATCGCACAAAATGTTTTAAATAATATCATAGTATTATTCCTGACCGCTCACGTGAGCGTCATCTAGTGGAACAATCTAAAATCTACATTGTGAGCGGTATGACTTTTTGTTTTTAATACCTGCTATTTTTTCTAATTTTAAATTATTTTTCACATATATAATCTATCTCACAGTATTATTAAAATATAATAATAATTATTATTGTTATATATTATCCCATTGTATTGGAGACTATATTCATTGATCAACTTCACAATCCTGGCAGGGATAATATAAAATTAATAATAACTTTGTTATAGAAATGTGTGTTAAGTAAATGATAAATTATTATCTTTTGTTGCGAGTTTCCAAAGAATGGTCATATTTCATGTAGAATTTTATTTAAATAACTCCCTCAATGACACCAGACCAAGACTGAGGTCCGATATACAAGTTTGTCTCAACTTTCCTGAACTTCATTTCCACCGTTCGAACATTGTTTTAACGGGAGAGGTTCTGTGGTATATAAATATCATCTTCCTGAAACTTTATGTTTACAAATATTTTTTCTGTCATTCCACCTTCAATTTTGAAGGTTATGGGCTGTCCTACATGACTATATTGGCAAGGTTTCGCCACTATGTACTAAGTGTCAACCCCAAACCACATCATTGACTGTATCATCCATTGATGAGCTCTACTCAGCATCCCCAGCAGACACCATTTCAAGCTCTACAGACTTGATACCTTGATATGAGGGTTGAGTGGAGATAAGAAATACTATATTTGTTAAGGTTTATGAATTGCATTTGTACTCATAATGTTTAAACTCTCACATAGAAAAATATGTTTTCTTCATTAATAATAATGATAAAGGATATTTTGTTGTAAATATTTTTAATGACAATAACGCGCCGACTCTACATAAGAAATGAAAATATTCAAAGCACAAAAATTTCCCAATAATTTATGATTGCAGTAAGGACAGTAGAAGTTTGATTTTTGAAAAAAAAAAACGAATATTCGAGCTTTGAATATTTTCATTTCTTATTTAATGACGCTGACTTATTTCTCCTTGTTAAAATCTCATCATCTCATTTTTTACGGTCTAAAATAATTGTAAGAATGTATGTAGGGGATGTCGTGCAGGCCAACTACTCGATGGAGAAACCGACCAAATACTCCGTAGACAACTACATCATGGAGACGGGGGCCGACAACGTCAAGAATATCGGTCACATCATCTACTGGGACCGCACCGGCAAGACCTACATAGATAGGTATCTACAAACTGTGACACACTACATAGTTACTTCCAAATGGACTTTATCAATCTTTTCTGAAGGCATTTTGATCAACGATATAATTTATCTTCAGTAAAACCAACCTGAGATATAGCGTACCTTCCCTTATAACTAACCCGAAATTTTATAATACAGTGAACTATGGCTATAGTGAATCCTAGATTCTCAATCCTATATCTATGGTCAGACTCAGCATGGAATCAAAACAAGACATGAGTAAAAACGCTCAGCACTAGTCCATACTGGACTACCCGGGTAGTTTGTGCTCCCTGGGTTATAAATCTCTCTCTCTCTGTAGTTACATATATGTCATCTTTTCATTATAAATACCTTCTTCCTAATCATTAGTTTAGTCTGTCCCGTGATGTACTCCAGCACACCATCAATTCTGGGTCATCTATAGAGGACTATATTTGAAATGATTTGTGAATATTTACTTGATTTAAAAATCCCCTCTGAATATAAAGATTGAAATATTATAACAGGTGGAGTTTGTTTTTATTGATCTCAATACATCCTTCTACACAATACTACCTCCCTGTAAAGGACAACACCTAATTGCAGGGCCAAAGTGTCCTTTAGAGAGAGATGTCCTCTTACCGGAGAGTTGCAAAGTACTAAAAATGGTAATTTTGCAAATGAAAACTGTACTTTGTAGAAAGGTGTCCTCTAGCGTGAGTGTCCTCTCGTGGAGTATGTTCTACTGTAATAATTAAAATAATGCGTTTTATTATTTAATCAATATTCGTTCAATGTACTCCTGTATATAGAAATACCCGAAAGGTTGAGATTGCACATTCATAAAACTCCACTCCAGAGAAACCTGTTATCTCTGTGTATAGTATAAAAGTTATGTTTTTCTTAGAAAGATGAAACAACCCACCCCGTGTATGTTCCAGGCCGGACTACGATCCTATTTGGAATGATACCAACTGCAATGCTTACAATGGCTCAGGTAAGTTTGAACGTTTCATGACAAACTTGAATTCCAATTTTACCGGAACTTGTCTTGAAGTCTCCCGTAAGAAAACGACTGGAAACTTGATGGTTGACATCCTAGAGGCGCGCCATCTGGTGTAAGAAATTTAAACTATTTTGACACGTTTGATTCTTTTTGAAATAAAACTAATTTCTACTGCCTTTACTGCAATGGTAAAATAATGGGAGAGCCTGGCTCATCAGTTGTGAACCTTTCCAGCGGTTTCGGTATAAAAGGAAAACAGCCAAATGTAATATTACAGCAGTATGGTAGATTAAACTGGCGAAACCGCTGGGAGGGTTCACCACTGATGAGCCATACTAAGGTATGCTTGTAAAGTAGATGATTTATGGTTTCTCACCAAACATGCTGTGAAATTGGTGTGTGGCAGACGGCACAGTTTTCCCACCTCACCTCACCAAAGAGGACGATGTTTACGTCTTCTCCCAAGATGTCTGCAGGTACTGTACCATAACATAATCTGTTGATTGGATACAAGTGACCGGCATTCATAGATTTAAAGACACTCCGGCCTGTATATATATATAGAGCCGCAGAGAATCGCTAACTAGAGAATTAAAGTATTTTAAAACACAATATTAATCTCTGATGCATTGGCTCGTCATCTGTGGCAAGAAGTTTAAAACACTTTTTGATGCGTATCACATTCTTTTTACAATAAAACAATTTTCTACTGCCCTTACTGCAATGATTAAATAATGGGAGGGCCTGGCTCATCAGTGGTGCACACTCCCAGCGGTTTCGCCAGTTTATTGCAGCAATATGGTAGATTAAACTGGGAGGGTTCACCACTGATGAGCCAGGTCCTTCCATTATTTTATCATTGCAGTAAAGGCAGTATAAAATGTATTTATTTTAAAAAGAATCATATGCGTCAAAAATAGTTTAAACTTACAACAGTATTGACCTCGAAAAAATAGGTATGATTGATTAAGCTAGCGAATCTGCTAGTAGTGTTCTCCCCTGATGAGCCAGGGCCTTCTAATATATTTATAGCATAAACAACAAAAGAGGGGTATGTTTTATTTGAAAAATAAAATGCTTGCCTAATAGTTATTCCGTGTATATACCCGTTATTTAACAGAGAACGCGCACAACATGGGAAAACTGTACTTAGATAAGGTGGGCAAATAACAAAAACGCTATCCTGACCGTGCAACTGAATATTGGTTGCGCCATCTGTAGGAATAAATATCAACTAATCGTTAATTTCTTTATTTTTCCGGAATATTTGCCAAATGTTTGATAAATCACATGCAGCTTCATAGAGACCACCGGTCTTATACAGATTCACCACAGGAAGGAAGCATAGATGGAGCTCCTATACTCCAGGCAGCGTAGAATCTAACAGTCTCCAGGTCCGACGTATGTCCAGTGGCCACAGAATCCACCGTTTTTTTTTTTATAAATCAAGAAAGGTCCTCCCCACGTAGCGTTTCAGGCTGTTGGCTCTCTTCAGCGTGGTGCAGGCTGTACGTCAGCGACCAAAATGTTGGTCCAATAGGTTTCTTGAAAAATCGAAGAGCCATAAGTGCTTGATGGCGCAAAACTATATGAAAAAATGTTTAATAAAGAGTACTGTTGGATTTCTATGGAAGTAATATGAATGAGAGAATACTGCTAGCCATGAGATGTGGTGCCAGGTCTCTGAAGCTGTCCTACACTCGCAACGAAGAGTTCAAGGGATTCAAGGTGCTCCGCTACACCTTGGCCCCGGAAATTCTCAAGCCGTACCTCCCGGAGAACAAATGTTTCTGCAATCCTGGGCAGAATTGCTCCCTCAAGAAGGATGGGATCTTTGACGTCGGCTTGTGCAAGACCAGTGAGTACAACCGCCAGTTACGTTTTATAATACAACTCATCATCTAGATTTAATTTTTGCCTGAGGCCGCTAGTTTTCGGCGACGGTCAATAGATAAAGTCTAATTTTGACTTTTATTTTGACGGTAGTGGGGACCAGTAAATTTTGAGCTATCTTGGCCCATATGCTCCAAGCTGACTGACTGTGCAGACGTCCCTCTGGTGGGCTCCATGCCCCACTTCTACAGCGGGGACTGCAGCAACATCGCCCAGGTCGACGGCCTCAAGCCCGACATCAAGAAACACGAGATGTTCCTGGACATTGAGCCGGTAATCACTGCACCTCTTGGCTACACACAATTATTTCACTTGTTCTCACATCTGTTATATGTTTTCGTACATGGGTTTTAGGTGTTCGCACATAAGTTTTAGTTGTTCGCACATAAGTTTTAGGTGGATTTTTTTCACTTGTTTTGTACATATGCTTCACCTGTTTGCATATCTGTTTTACACATTCACATATCTGATTTTCATATTCGCATATTTGTTCCACATATCGCGTATCAGCTTTACACATTTGCATATTTTGCCACATATTCTCCTATCTGTTTTACATAATCGCGTATATGTTCTACCTCTTCGCATATTTGTTCTACACATGACCCTATTTTTTACATATTCGTATATTTATTTAACATGTTAGCACATCTGTTTCACAACACATCAGTTTTACACATATACATGTATGTTCTGCATATTCGCATATCTGTTTTACATATTCGCATATCTGCTTTACATATTCGCATATCTGTTTTACATATTCGCATATCTGTTTTACATATTAGCATATATATTTCACATGTTAGCATATATCGGTTTCACATGTTAAACCATCATGTTCATGGTGCTGCAGAGACTTGGCATCCCCATGCGGCTCAACAAGAGGGTCCAGGTCAGCTTCGACTACCAGATCGATGGGGGCAAACTCTTC